GGAATTCCTTCGGCTGAAGAAGTGATCGTGACGTACTGTCGCTGCTTAGGTATCAGCGCTGCTGTGCCCAACCTGAATTTCTTCCTTGCTCTCTCGTATTTTAAAGTGGCTTCAATAATGCAGGTAATAGTTGTGGCTATAACCTGCCCATTTTAAACATATTTTAAGTTTCAGGGAGAAATACTGCAAACCACACTCCTACATAATGTTAGTGAAGTTTTTTTGAAGTTCAACAAGAAATTGAGCGTTACTTTGATATGCATATTTCCTAGAATGTGATCAGATATGTCTCAGCCATGTGTCAATCACACCATTCAAATGCCCCTTAACATTCACATGAACACAAAATTTAATAATTGGGTGGCCGCGGGGAACCAGTCCTGTTTTTGGCTCACCTTAAACGCTTTCAAATCCAGCTGTGAGATTTTGCAGGGCTAGTTGAGATTATTACTACTACCATACTTCATATTTAGTTTTCATATTTCATATTTAGGAGCCAGTGTGGTGTAGTGGTTAAGAGCAGTGGACTCGTAATCTGGTGAACTGGGTTCGATTCCCCGCTGCTCCACATGCAGCTGCTGGGTGACCTTGGGTTAGTCACACTTCTCTGAAGTCTCAGCCCCACTCACTTCACAGAGTGTTTGTTGTGGGGGAGGAAGGGAAAGGAGATTGTTAGCCGCTTTGAGACTCCTTCAGGTAGTGATAAATCGGGATATCAAATCCAAATCCAAACTGTTTTCCACAGCCTACAGGAGCTGGATTTTAGCCACCCTGCAGTGGGTTTGTGTCAGTGTCCTCAACACCCCAACTTTTTAAAAAAATAAACAGCTCTGGAACATCAACAACATTGTCTTACACTGAACGTAACAAGAGAGAGAGAGACCTTGCAGTTCTTTTGTAATTCAAGAAAACCTTTAATAAAAATTATTTCAAAATAAAATAACAAAGGTCATTATATATTACTTTAGCTAGTAACAAACAACAGCTCTTCAAATTTTATATTTTATCAGTTGTTTCAGAGGCAGAATTGTTTGGCTGTGCAGTACCAAGTGTTGTGCCATTTCACAATTTCCACATGACATATTGTTTTAGCAAGTGGGTTCTTGAATGAAATAAAAAGCCAAATCACATATACTTTTGTTTATATTTTCCTTAGGGCATCTATGCCAGATACCTTCAGGGAAATTCCGTTGCAGAAAACAGCCACAAGTTTGGCAGTATGGTGAAACCTTTGGCAGAAACTGGATTACTGGTATCAAAAAAGTAAGAATGGTTTATTCAGAATATTTTTTTTTAAATGGCAACGAGTTCACTCCAAAGCAGTTGAGGTTGTCGTGTGGGGTATTGCATGAGGAGTCGGGGAGATGAATTTGTTTCTGCTTTAAGGCTATGTAGCTGAAGAAAAATGCCATTACTGTTCCCTTCTGGGTTTTTCTTCTAGAACATCTTTTGCCACTGAGAGTCAGCCCTGTAGCACAGGAGAATTATTCCACCAGTCTAAAGCGGGCAAAGAAGTACTTGAAACGGTGAAGGATTTCATGAAGAAATATGTTTTTCCAGTTGAAATGGTGAGACATATACATATTCAGAACATATTCAGAACACTGGTACTAATCAGGCACAGATTGAAAGCCTAATCATTCATTAGGAACAGAAATGTGGCTGAATTTTGCCCTGGTTTATTAAGATGCAGACTGGTGAAGTATTGGCAAGAAAACTGAGCCAAGCCACTCATTTCTTTAGTATATGACTCAGCAGTACTGATTTGTGGTTGTCAAAGCCAGACACAGATTTAGTTGCCGTTGGCGGCTCTAGCAGAGATGGGGAATTTCCTGCTCTCCATCTGTCGTTAGACTTCAGCTTCCATCAAACAACATGGCTATGAGCAGAGATGATGAGAGTTCAAGTCCAGTGCAGCTTTGCCCTCCCTGCTGTCAGGTCTAGTTCCTCCCTCAGTGCCAGAAGGCAGAGGTGATCCCATTGCAAAGGTTATTAGGACTCCTGTATCATTCATAGTTTTTGTTATGTAATGAAGTTCTCACCCTGGGCCAGCAGGGGGATACTGTAGATAGTTCAGGTCCACATATGCAAATAAGGGATCGAAAGTGGTGTTCAGTGATTGGATAGTTACAGAAAGTTGTTACAGTTACATTGTACTAGAGCTCTATATAAGCAGGCTGGCTGAACCCTTCAGTTCTGTTCTGTTCTGGCCTGTGAATAAACAAGAGCTGTTTGAAGAATCGCTGTGTCGTCTGATATGTTCACCCACAACTTAACAGTTTTACACAGAGCCATAGGTGCCAGATCCTGGGGGCCGAGGCACTTTCACACCCCCAATGTTTTTTTTATTAGTGGGTGGGCCCCATCAATTTTCAGAGAGCATTTGACTCTGCCCCACGGTATATCACAATGCCATGCTCACGACATCAGGATGTTGTGTGACATCGGGTGCGCATGATGTCAAGACGACACATCAGGCCTCCTCAATCATCTTGAGAAGTTGGTGCCTCTACAGAGAAGGGGATTTTAGCTGGTGCAATCATCTCTGGCTGCCAGGACCAGTTGCAAGCCTGAGTTGCCTCATAACAAAATGTGGCCTGGTAACTCACCTCCTGGGTTGGTGTCCTCACCCCGGGGGCATGCAGTAGCAGCAGCAGCATCTGTTTTCTAAATCAGGCAGCTGGGAAATGCCTGCCATTTTAAACCCACCCCAAACAAAACATTGACCCGTGGCATTGTGGGAAATTTCAATAGTGGATAGCTTTCAGACCCAGCCATCTAGTGCAGGGGCCCCAGGACACACAATAGTGGTGGGCCTTTCTAAGGTACAATGGTACAGTTAGGTAAATTACACTCTAGACATACAGTGGTACCTCGGGTTAAGTACTTAATTCGTTCCAGAGGTCCGTTCTTAACCTGAAACTGTTCTTAACCTGAAGCACCATTTTAGCTAATGGGGCCTCCTGCTGCCGCTGCACCGCCGGAGCACAATTTCTGTTCTCATCCTGAAGCAAAGTTCTTAACCTGAAGCATTATTTCTGGGTTAGCGGAGTCTGTAACCTGAAGCGTATGTAACCTGAAGAGTATGTAATCTGAGGTACCACTGTAATGGCTTTACAGGAGTCCTTTTATTTTACAGTGGTACCTCGGGTTACAAACGCTTCGGGTTACAAACACGTCAGGTTACAAACTCCGCTAACCCAGAAATAGTACCTCAGGTTGAGAACTTTGCCCCAGGATGAGAACGGAAATTGTGCGCTGGCGGCATAGCAGCAGCAGGAGGCCCCATTGGCGAAAGCGTGCCTCAGGTTAAGAACAGTTTCGGGTTAAGAATGGACCTCTGGAATGAATTAAGTTCGTAACCTGAGGTACCACTGTATTATTTTATTATTTATATGATGCCCATCTGACTGGGCTGTCCCAGCCACTCTGGGTGGCTCCCAACACAATATTAAAAGCACAATAAAACGTCAAACATTAAAAAATTCCCTGTTGTACTGGGCTGCCTTCAGATGTTTTCTGAAAGTCATATAGTCATTTAGATGTGTGACGGGAATATTGCTTCGCTATTCATCCAGTCTATTGGACTTCAGATGCTCACATTCACAATTCTATGTCTTTATAACTCTGTCCTCCAATTACTCACAAATCTCTTACCATATGAAAAGCAGAGTAAGTAGCAATCTGGTGAAATGTACTGAGGGGGGGGGGGATGCACTGATGTGGCTTTATTGGCTGTTGTGTGTTCTCTGTTGATGTATTTTATTTTCCTAGGAAATGGTGGAGTATTACACCAGAAATAAAAATTCGCCAGACGTATGGAAAAAGCCTCCCGTGATTGAGAGACTGAAGGTGCTTGTATTTTTTTTCACTTTTGTGGTGTTAATAATGGAAGGAATTACCTGATACAATCCTGTAGCTGTGCAAATGTCACTTGAAGAATAGCTTATCTGATGTTTGGGGATCTTATTCCAATTAAAATGGCAGGTAAAGTTTTGAAGAGAAAGAGTAGTTTATCACCCTGATCCACAGGCCTGATAAAATGGCGACACTTTTGCTTTAAAGCACTTTAGTTCAATTGATTTCAACTGCAGGCAAGCCTAGGCCAAATTTCTTCTGCAGTTTCACAGGCTTACACTCTGGGCCGTTAATCATAGATGTTTTGCTGAATAACACTGTGGAAAGACAGAAATCTCTGCAATATGTAGTTTTTAGTCTTCTGTTTCTATAACCAAGGAGGAAAAAATAATAATTTCACACTAAGACACCTAGTCAGGAGTTAGATGCTCTGACTCATTTGGACTTCCTTAATGGAGTTAGGTTGGTTGGAACCAGAGTTTAAGATCTGGTGTGTATATGAGAGAGAGAGAGAGAGAGAGAGAGAGAGAGAGAGAGAGAGAGAAGGAAAGAGAAAGAGAGGGAGGGAGAGAGAGAGAGAGAGAGAGAGAGGGAAAGAAGGAAAGAGAAAGAGAGGGAGAGGGAGAGGGAGAGAGAGAATAAGTGAATAAGTGATTATGGCAATTCCAGAACCAATAATTTGGCTTGGTGTTTTCTGAGTGCTGTGATTTCAATCAGATTGGCATTTATTTTATCGGGATTATACTAAAATACGTATATTTCCCCGAATGCTGTAAGCATCCCAGCTCTTAAATTATTTATTTTATTATATTTAAATATTATATATCTCCCTTCTAGCTAAAGTATTAGAATGGTCGTTCAGTGCCACCATGACTTGGCTCATCCCTCTTACTTCTCTCATCAGGAAAGGGCCAAGGCAGAGGGTCTCTGGAACCTTTTCCTGCCAGGGGTTAGTGGTCTTGGCCAGCTGGACTATGCCTTAATCGCAGAAGAGACCGGGAAGTGCTTCTTCGCGCCCAACGTCTTCAACTGCCACGCCCCAGGTCGGTGAATTGTTATGACACTCATACCAGGGATCATAGAATCACAGAACTGTAGAGTTGGAAGGGACCTCAAGGGTTTACTAGTCCAGCCCGCTGCAGTGCCAAACGTGGGAATCGAACCCATGACCTTGAGATTAAGAGTCTCATGCTCTAACCAACTGGGCTATCCTAGTACCTGACGGGGAACCTTTCTCAGCTCAAGGGCCACGCTTTCTCCTGAGGGACCGCATGCCAGAGACAAATGTTGCATTAGTCCTTTGACTGGTTCCTACAGACACCATTTTCACACCCTTCTTCATCCTACATCTAGGAAGGTAGAAGCATTTTCAGAGTTGAAGGGCACATTCCAGCCAGGCAAAAACCACTCAAGGAGGGTGCAAAGCAGGGCTGGTGACAGACGTGACCTTGGGAGTTGTCCTGAGGGCTGGATAATGAGTCCTGAGGTGTTGCATCTGGTTCCTGGGCCTGAGGTTCCCCAGCCTTGCCTCTATGCAGTGATCATTGTGTGTCTGATGGAGCGGGAACCGCAACAGCGTCTTTTCTGTTTGTCTCCCCCCAGACACAGGAAACATGGAGGTCCTGCACATGTATGGGACCCAAGAACAAAAGAAACAATGGCTGGAGCCTCTCCTAGAAGGGAAAATAAGTTCTTGCTTCTGCATGACAGGTAATAGTTTCTTCTTCTCCTCCTAAAACTAAGGATTGTGATACGGTGCTACAAAAATCCTCCAACAGGGACTGCATGGTGACTTCTTACATTTGTATTACATACAGAGAAATATAATGGTTTTAGTAGTGATAGTCCACAACAGTTCCTCTGTAGTATTTTTCCAGGAATATCTTTTCTTTATAATTTATATCTGCTCCAATTATTATTTTTTGAATGTTTGTCTTATTTTTATACTTTTTAAAAATAATTTGAGATGTATATATGTTTCGTTATACAGTGGTACCTCGGGTTAAGTACTTAATTCGTTCCGGAGGTTTGTATTTAACCTGAAACTGTTCTTAACCTAATGCACCACTTTAGCTAATGGGGCCTCCTGCTGCCGCCGCTGTGCCGCCGGAGCACGATTTCTGTTCTTATCCTGAAGCAAAGTTCTTAACCTGAAGCACTATTTCTGGGTTAGCGGAGTCTGTAACCTGAAGCGTATGTAACCTGAAGCGTATGTAACCTGAGGTACCACTGTATAAGTGTGAAATTCAATAACCTGTAAGAAACATTGCAATAATAAAACAAATAGAGCTTGAACCAGGTTTAAAATATTCCCTGTCCTTCTCATCGCCGTTCATCTTTCTACATCACATAGAATTGCATGTTGATAAGAATTCTCAACTAATAAATATACGTCTACATATATATTTGAGCTCTTTGACATTCTCCTTAGATTAACTTAGAAACAATCTAAGACAGTGGTGGCAAACCTATGGCATGTGTGCCAGAGTGGGCACTCAGAGCCCTTTCTGTGGGCACACGCGCCATCGGTTCATCTGCACCGTTGCTGGGGGTTGGCAAAGTGGGCAGCCACCCCCCCAACCACTGTGGGTAGGAAACTCTCACTAGAGTTCCTCGGCCCCCCATGCCGCTGTGAGCCAGAAACGGGTTATGTTTTGCTTGTGCGAGCCGGAGATTGCCTGCGGCGATTGGGCGGGAGATTATTGCCTGTTGTCGATTGGCTTCCTCTGTATTAGTTTGGCGGCTGCCTCCCCCCAAAAAGCTCAGCAAACCTGGACATTCCCCCCAGTGAAAGCTCAACAACAGTGTGCAACACCCCCCCCCAAGAAGCTCAACAACTCAGGGCACTTTGTGTTGGCACTTTGCGAGAAATAAGTGGGTTTTGGGTTGCAGTTTGAGCACTCGGTCTCTAAAAGGTTTGCCACCACTGATCTAAGATCTTCAGCAAAATCAATAGTAAGGCCACTTCCCAAACCAATCAAGAAGGACCAGGAAAAGTGCCAACCTGTCTGTGTGGTCCCCATAAGTGCTTTAAAACAACTAGGGGAACATTAAAGGTAAAGGGACCCCTGACCATTAGGTCCAGTCGTGACAGACTCTGGGGTTGCGGCGCTCATCTCGCTTTATTGGCCGAGGGAGCTGACAGACAGCTTCCGGGTCATGTGGCCAGCATGATTAAGCCGCTTCTGGCGAACCAGAGCAGCGCACGGAAACGCCATTTACCTTCCCGCTGGAGCGGTACCTATTTATCTACTTGCACTTTGACGTGCTTTCGAACTGCTAGGTTGGCAGGAGCAGGGACCGAGCAACGGGAGCTCACCCTGTTGCAGGGATTCAAACCGCCAACCTTCTGATCGGCAAGTCCTAGGCTCTGTGGTTTAACCCACAGCGCCACCTGTGCCCCATAGTGGAACATTAAGCAACATAATAAAAAGGTAAAGGGACCCCTGACAATTAAGTCCAGTTGCGAACGACTCTGGGGTTGCGGCGCTCATCTCGCTTTACAGGCCAAGGGAGTCGGCATTTGTCCGCTTCTGCAGACAGTTTTTTTCCGGGTCATGTGGCCAGCATGATTAAGTTGCTTTTGGCGGAACCAGAGCAGCACACAGAAACGCCGTTTACCTTCCTGCCGGAGCAACATAATAAAACCACATAAATAGACACGTCATCTGCTGAGGGTGGTGGGGACAGACAGACTGCCTTTTCTCCTTGCAGACCACTGATGCTGCTTCTATCACCTCTGCTTGGTGATAAAATGGGCTAAGTTAAATTCTGTTTTCAGTTACTCCAGCTGCAGTAAGCCATGATTGATATTTTGTTTGAACAGAACCTGGCGTCGCTTCGAGTGATGCCACCAATATGGAATGCAGCCTCGAGAGAGATGGAGACAGCTATGTGATCAACGGCCAAAAGTGGTGGAGCAGCGGTGAGTAAAACAAAGTTTTCCTGGAATGTTGAGGTCAATTCTATCTCAGAATTCTGTCCCATGTTTCCGTATTGACTGTATGAGGACTAAGAAAGATGACTTTTATTTTTTTCCTGGCGTCATGCTTGAACAGGCCTTTGCATTTACATGCTAGATATTCCATTATATTTTATCTATGGATTAAGTCACACGGGACTCCAGCATTAAGGTTTGCTCCTGCACATAGGTGAACTGAATCCTAGGCCCCTTCTCAAACTGAGTGTTCTATGAATAGTGGAGAATACACATTAATCCTGCTGAGTCTCAACGCTGTGCTGCGTACATGTAAACCAGTGTTTCCCAAACCTGGGCCTCAAACTGGTTTTGGACTACAATTCCCATCATCCCTGATCACTCGTCCTGCTAACTAGGGATGATGGGAGTTGTAGTCCAAGAACAGCTGAAGTTTGGGAACCCCTGATGTAAACCAATGACTCCTTTGGAATATGCTTTACACACAAGTTGTTTAACAATGTGTGAAGCTACAGACGTATCCATCTTTTGAATCGGAATAGTATGGGATGCTAATTAGCTGATATCCCAAAACTTCTGCAAGGCAATAAGGGACCTTCCTGAATTTTGAGTTTGAAAGATTCCCCTATGAAAAAAACCCCATAGTAGTTCAGGGATTGTTTTATACACATGGTTCCTTTCTCTTCCGTTGAAGCTCTTTTATTGTATACAAAAATGAAGCATAATATATATTAATAAAATACAATAGGAATAACAAAACATAAGATTGTGTTGTGGGTGACTTAATGGAAATGCTGTAGGTGTCGTTACGTGACAGTTCTAATCGTATTAGGAAATTCTACCCAGTAGGGCCTGCACTTCAAATTCCATTACGTGAAGGAATAAGGTTCCCCCTGCCACCGAAAAATTACTATTTGTGTAAATAAGTGTTTAGGTGTATTCTTGTCCATAGAATACACCTATGGTTCTTGAGCAGCAACTGAACATGGCATCCCCATGTCTAGTATTCCATCTTTCAGGAACACAAGGCAACATGTACCCCATGTACTGATGCCATTATCCTATGCGTTTTCTGGATTCCTGTTCCATGTAAATTATCTGGGTGGAGAAAACTTAGCACAATGGCACCAGGATTTATAGCAGGGCTTGGGGGGAAGCATTGATCCATTGGGGTTGTTGGACTCTGGCTCCCATCAACCCCCATCAGTATGATCAGTGGCAGGGCCGTCTTAAGCATATCCTGCGCCGTGGTGCAAAGATCCTGCCGGCGCCCTCCCCTTTCCCAGAGTTGACCTTTTTTTTAGGGCTGGAGGAGGCGGGCAGCGGCTGGAGGGCGGCTTCTCTGGTGGGGAAGAGGCAGAGGCTGGACGCGGCGTCTCCCAGCTCAGCTAGCCGCTTCGTGCCACGGTGGGAATGGCAGGCAGCACACCGAGTGAGCGAGGGCACGTGCGCCGCTCCCGCCAAGTGTCAGCTTGGTTTTTTCCCTTTTAGCCTTCTGGCGCCCCACAGAATTTTGAGCCTGCAGGCTAAAAGGGAGAAAATCGAGCCGATGCTCAGCGGGAGCAACGCACACATGCACCCTCGCTCACTCAGCGTGCTCGTTCGGTGTTGTCTGGACTCTTGCCTGGCGCCCTCCAGAACTTGGCGCCCTGGCACCCTGTGCCACTAGCCTCAGTGGGTAAGATGGGCCTGGTCAGTGGTCAGGGATAGTGGAAGCTGAAGCCCAACAACAGCTTTCATTATCCCTGACCGTTGGCCATACTGATGGGGGTGGAGTCCAGTGCTTCCCCACCTCTGCTTTATAGGATGATTTTATTTTCTATAATAAGAACAGGCTTGCCATCATCTTTCCTGAGCCATGCTTCTCAAGGAAAAACAGCCTTTAGGAAAATAGCTATTGAGTGATTCTACTCACTCCATCTCCTTGCTACTAAGCAGGCTTATTTCCACTTGAACATTTCATTAGTATGTATTATTTGATGTTAGAAATAATGTGCAACATTTCCTGTATGCATAGATCAGCCCATTTAAACTAGGTTATATTGTCAGCAGAGAGCAGGTACGCTAGGTCCAGCTATCTGCTCGATTGGAACAGCTTCATTCTACCACGTGAAGCAATCGCAGTCAATATTCAGTTCTTTTATCAAGGATCTCTCTGTGTCAACCCAGCACAGCCAGGCATTGACTGACTTAAGCGAACACGGATTGCTTTCCGCTTTCCTTCTCCCCATTTTCTAAATAGTGAAGCTACTGGTTTCTTGCCCAGAATCTTCATAGTCCACAGGAATTTCTTCATTCGCTGCGCTCTGCTGCCTTCTCCAGTAGCCGCAACGCTTTGCCATTTTGACCATGTGCATTTTGAAAGAGGCTCCCATAAAAAAATAAAGGATGGGGTTCAGGCAGCAGTGGAACAAAGCAATGCTGTTAGTCACCTGGAATACGATATCAATGGTTTTGCTTGTGCTGCAGTCTGTAATAAGCGGGTAGATAATGTCAATGGCTTTCCAAAGCTTGACGATGTTATAAGGCAGTTGCGTGACAATAAAGACCAACACCGCTGCGACAAGAACTTTCAGAGGCCGGCATTTTTTAACACTGGGGCTCGAAATGAGAGTTCTGGCCACAGCCGAGTAGCAAACTAGCATGATGAGGAAAGGCAGCGCAAAACTCAGCAACATTTCTGCTATTTCGATGGTTACGTTAATTACGTTCCCCGTGCTTTGAGGAAATGCGGGAAAACATGTAAGCCTGTTGTTGAACTCCACGACTGTGTTAAAGACAAATTCAGGAATGCAAAGGAACATGGCAGCTGCCCAGACAAGGAAAGACGTTTTGACGCATTGGTTGATGGCCCCTGGTTTAGCTTGGGATTTGACAATGGCTTTGTATCTATCGACGCTGATGCAGGCCAGAAATTGCATGCTAGCACTAAAGGTCATTGTGTAGATAGCGGACGTGATCTTGCACAAAGGGATACCTAGGACCCACCCGTGGGCGGCACTCGCAGCCCAAAAGGGAAGAGTGCAGAGCAGTAACAAATCGGCGATCGCCAAGTTCATGATGTATACATCCACCCTGGTCTTTAGTTTTCTGATGTAGGCGAAGAATGCCACCACTAGGGAATTCCCAGCGAGCCCAACGAAGAAAACGACAGAGTAGAATGCCGGTAGGAACGAGGTGATGAATGCTCTGACCTCACCTTTGTAGCAAAGCATTTCGAAGGAAGCGTAGTCGAAAGTAGTGTTCAGTTCATAATCATCGTAGCGGTATCCTTCTGTAGAGAGCTCCATGGTAGAATCTGAAAGACAGGGTGGGGTGGAGGGAGAACTCGAAGTTAATTGCACCCAGTGGATGTTGGTTTTCCAGGAAATTTTGGATTGGGGGAATGTCCTGTACAAATTAGGATGATTTCCAGCTTGCCTCAGAAGATTTATTGATGCCTTACGATGTGATTCAAGGATGATGATGATGATGATATATTATTTCTACCCGCCCATCTGGCTGGGTTTCCCCAGCCACTCTGGGCGGCTTTCAACAGAACATTAAAAACAGAATAAAACTTCAAACATTAAAAACTTCCCTAAACAGGGCTGCCTTCAGATCTCTTCTAAAAGTCAGATAGTTGTTTATTTCCTTGACTTCTGATGGGAGGGCGTTCCACAGGGCGGGCGCCACCACCAAGAAAGCCCTCTGCCTGGTACCCTGTAACCTCACTTCTCGCAGGGAGGGAACAGCCAGAAGGCCCTTGGAGGCTGAACGATGGGGGTAGAGACGCTCCTTCAGATATACTGGGCCGAGGCCATTTAGGCTTTAAAGGTCAGCACCAACACTTTGAATTGTGTTCGGAAACATACTGGGAGCCAATGTAGGTCTTTCAGGACTGGTGTTACATGGTCTCGGTGGCCACTCCCAGTCACCAGTCTAGCTGCCGCATTCTGGATTAGGTGCAGAAGGAAGTGTGTTCGTTTCACTTTTGTTTGGTAAAGGGACATAAATACATTTTGTTACATCAGAAAATGTACTGATGTCCTAGAGAGTGATCTCATTTTGCATGTTTATTTTACTTTTATTTCATAAAGAAAGCTAAAACATTTGAAACTGACAGGCTTGCGTAACTATATTTTTGCAGCTGGCTTCCATTCATTCTTATGAATTCATTCTTGTTCATTCTTATGAATGAACAATGTGGGGAGGGGTTTTTGCTCCACATCATTGGTGGCATTTGGAAATAGATTTTAAATACTTGAATCAAAGGCTCCAGACAAACACTATAATCTTCAAGGGCTCTTACCTGCATGCACGGCTAAACTAGGCATTACAATGAATAAACACATGGGTGTTGCTAAACATAGCACCTCCTCTCCCCCATTCCTTCCTTACTATTACAACAGCCTCCAACCATTAGCAGCCAACTCCTAGGGGCCTGAGTAGTCTTTGCCCCCCCCATAAAATATTCGAGGGGGCTGGACCCCTCCAAAGTTAATGGACATTGCCATTCCATGCATCTGTGCACTGCAGCATGTGATCGTTTATGCAGGGTAGGGGTTTATTTGCCCCCCCCCATATTTTATTCAAGTTGGCACCCCTGGGAGCCAATGATGTGAAGGGGGACCATGTCATCAGAAAAACGGGCTCTCAATTTAGATGATATTAATTTGTTCCAGTGAGCAAAGACCCAGAATCACGCCAAAAGAAAATACATTAGAAAACGTATTAAAAGTAAATGGTAAAAATTGCAAATATGTACGATGAAGGCAATGTAAACGATGCATTTATGAACAATGATGCAAAATAAACAGTGAGCTATATAAAAAATGATTGCAGTATAATAATATAAAGTTACAGCGAGACTAGTCCAGGCAGTAAAGCCCTGCAGCTTTCAAAATTAAGATAAGGCAGGAATGCCAAACCTGTGGCTTTCTTTCAACGGTTTGCCCTTGAAGCTCTTGATCCAAGTAATTAATTTCAGCTGAGTTGGCGGAGGATCCGCTTTACTCCTGGGTTGTTCTTTTTGTTTCCTGAAGCTGCAAATGAGCAGATGGATACAGGAAGTTCTTTTCTTAGATGTCGGCTAGATTCCTGAGAGTCTCAAATTGTTCCTTCGTGCGCCCGTGTGAAATCTTCCAACATCTAGCTAATTGTAGCCGGTGGGATTTCTTTCGCTGATCGACAAAGATCCCAAGTATTATTTTTTTAAAGTAGAAAAGTTTTCTCTTGATCTACCATGTGTGCCTGGGGATATTCCAGCCTCCCACTTTCCTCCATAAACAGCTAGGTGACTGCGGTGGCTGGTTGGAAAGGCTGGTTTCCAAGACTCTATAATACTTTTAACAGCGGTGGGCTTTGTTATCTTCCCCCTGGCTGTTTTAAATTTGGATTCCTGCATTGCAGGCAGTTGGACTAGACGACCTTTGGGTTCCTTCTAACTCTACAATTCTATGATATCTGCCTGCCCCCTAGTAACCCCATCCTTTTATCTGTGTGCGTTTTATCCCCCTTGGCTTCTGTCTTTGGGCGGCGCTAGTGCCATGGGATGTTTGAGTGCAGGATTTTATCTGTACATACAAATAAGAGGTTAGAGCACCAGGAGGGCTGCACCCTTCCAGTAGCAGGCAGAGCAATGGGCACAAATTTAACGATCAGTACAGTAGTCTTCCATCCTTTTCGGGTGTCTTCCAGCTGGGAAGGATGCAGCAGCTCATGGCACCCTGTACCCCCTCCCAAAACTGCACCTGGGACAACAGCCCCCCTCCCAGCCCTTCCATGCTATGCCTCTGGGATCCCGTGAGGAAAAAGGACTGTAAGCCTAGTAGTAGCAGCAGCAGAGCACATGTTTTAGTCCCAGCTTTAATCCCAGCGCCTCCCTCTTGTAAACGCCAGAGAGCCGCGGCTAGGTCACATCTGTCCTGCATATCCTGAGCACTCTGATGCCACATTAGCAGTCATGACTCCCCCCCCCCAAAGAATCCTGGGAGTTGTAGTTCTTTAAGGGTGCTGGGAACGGTAGCTCCGCGAGAGTTCTCCCAACAACTCTCGGCACCTTTCGCAAACTGCAGTAGCCACTGAAGCCACTTGAGGGAACACACACACACACACACACACACACACACACAGCAAAAGGTCACTACAGACTGTTTTCTAATCGTTTATAAAAATGATAAAATGAAATTGCTGACCTGCTTTCCTCTTTGCAGGAGCTGCTTCATTGAACTCCTCCTGTGCAATGCTGTTTTGGTTTCTGACTCACAATTATTCTCCAGAACCACCCCGCCTTTCATTTCCATTCTCTTTCCTCCGCCCACCCTCATCTGCCAGCAACACTTGTGCTTTCCTGGAAAACATCTGTTTCAGTTGAGCCAAAGGGCAGCTCCCTTTGCTGGCTCAGCTTTGCCTTTTAACCTGAAAGACAGAAAAAACTTTGTTGAAAACCCAGTTATTGGTGTGGAGTTTCAACAATGGGAATAGGATTGAGGTCAGGGTTGCTAAGCGTATTACAGCTCAGATAAGGGCTGCGTATGTACCATGCCTTTAAAGCACATCTCTCTCTCTCTCCCCCCCCCCCCCAGCTCCCCTAAGAATCCTGGGCACTGAAGTTTGCTGATGCAGGGCTGATCAGTGGCAGTATGGCCTATAGGGCAGGTATTTGGCTTTAAATGGAGGGTGCCCCATTCCCCTGCTGCAGCACAACTGTCAGGTTATACTCATCACACACAGTCTGCTAAAAATTGTTTGCATGCTTCAAATCGGTGTTTCAAAAATATTACGTTTCATGCATCCTAACAACCAGACCAACAAGTCAGTTAAGCCAGTTTGTGGATCATTTCAGGCAGGGGAATCTGTGAGATTTCCACTTTAAGCTGCCTATTCCCCCGAATCTGACTGTTGGTCCATAAAGTCCAGTACAGTCATAACTTGGTTTTTGAACAGCCTAGTTCTCAAACACCTTGACTCTGAAACGATCAAAACCTGGAAGTGAGTGTTCTTTTGGAAGCCGAACATCCAACAGGGCTTCTGCAGCTTCTGATTGGCTGCAGCAGCTTCCTGCAGCCAATCAGAAGCCGCACTTCAGTTTTCGGAGATTTTGGAAGTCGAACGGACTTCTGGAACTGATTCCGTTCAACTTCCAAGGTACCACTGTACTGTCTGCTCTGACTGGCAGTTGGGTCTCCAGGTTTTCTTTTCCCATCAGCTGCTCTTTTTAACTGGGGACAGAATTTGCTTTCAAGTAAATGTGTACCTAGGAATGTTGTTTCTTGCTAAATGAGATGGGATTAGTATCACAGCCTTTTAGCCCAACCCTAAAACTGTTCACTGGGAACTTGTTCATTTTGTAGGAGCTGGAAATCCAGACTGCAAGTTTGCTATTGTGATGGCCAGAGATAAAAACACATCTGCATCCAGGTAAGAAGAAAACCATGGTAAAATGTTAAGTCAAGTCTGAAAATGGGTCCTTCTAACTCGGTATTGTCTCTGCTAGGAGTTCCCAGACTGTGGTCTGAGAGCTGAGCTGCAACCTGTCTGTGGATTTGTGGTTGAAGATGGGAGATGGCACATCCATCACATTAAATATCCATAAGGAGTTTCAATTGTATTTGTATTGCTACTTCCTTATATTCTATTTTTATACAAAAGCAATATCTCCAAATGCAAAACAGATGTTTATATGAACAGAGGAAGCTCAAGAAGGGCTATGGCATGCAAGAAGAGGCTGTCACCACTACAAAGTGACCAAGGGGGAAGACCACCTTGTGTCCTTCCTGGCCGGCATGCTGGGGCAGAAGGTGCTCGAGTCAGTCTTATGCAAGTGCATGCATGCAACTGCACAATACCTTGCACGAGCCTTGTCCTCCGACATCCGTGCTCACACTGCCTGAACTTGGACCAGTCAGTAGCTATGGCCTGCATGGCACTGAACAAGACACCTCTCTGCCTTCCCATCCCTGCGATAGAAGACCCATAGGTTAGGTATGCTTTGCATACTTTGCAAGCCAAGAGGTTCGATCCTTGGCATCTCCGTGAACAGCTGGTAAAGACCCCTGCTGGGAATCCTGTGGAGCTTTTGCCCATCAGGCGCTGTGGGTTAAACCACACAGCCTAGGGCTTGCCGATCAGAAGGTCGGCGGTTTGAATCCCCGCGATGGGGTGAGCTCCCGTTGCTCGGTCCCTGCTCCTGCCAACCTAGCAGTTCGAAAGCACGTCAAAGTGCAAGTAGATAAATAGGTACCGCTCCAGCAGGAAGGTAAACGGCGTTTCCGTGCACTGCTCTGGTTTCGCCAGAAGCGGCTTAGTCATGCTGGCCACCTGACCCGGAAGCTGTACGCCGGCTCCCTCGGCCAATAAAGCGAGATGAGCGCCGCAACCCCAGAGTCGTCCGTGATTGGACCTAATGGTCAGGGGTCCCTTTACAGACCAGAGAGGGGGAACCTTTTTAAGTCTGAGGGACATATATCCTTCTGGGCCACCCTCAGAAAGGGGCCACACTGCGGTAGAGGCGATAGCAGGCAGAGCAACAAATGTGCGGGTTACCTTTGTGCAGCAGGCAACACATTCTCATGTCCCTCTATCTTGCCAGAGTTCCAGCTAGGCAAAAATAGTGCAAAGCGGGGTTGGTGAGTGGCAGGGCCTCAGGAAAGTTCCAAGGGCCAAATTGAAAGGTCTGAAGGGCCAGATTGAGCCTCCAGGTCTGAGCTTCCCTATTCCTGGTGTAGACAATACTGGACCAATGGCAGCTTTCTGTGTCCATTAATACTCAGCAGTTTCTGTGTTCATTAATACTCAGCTGCTGCTCAAGAGGTAGAGGTAATAAAAGTTTAGTTGCCAGATTTCTGGTTTCAGTGCCTCTCTCTCAGGGCCGGATTTAGGTTTGATGAGGCCCTAAGCTACTGAAGGTAATTGAACCCTTTATATTTCCAGCTGTCCTTTGTCAACAACAAATTGTCCCTTTATTGTGTGTTGAATATATGATATATGGTAATTTATGGACCTAATAGGTATCTAAACCCATTTGTACATAACAGAGTATGTATTTTATCAAAGTACATCCACTTTTTTTTTCCTTTAAAATTTTTGGGGCCCCCAAGAGAGTGGGGCCCTAAGCTATAGCTTGTTTAGCTTATACATAAATCAGGTACTGCGCTCTCCATCTCTCTCTCATATCTGTTTTTTTTTTAAACTCACAGATAATTCCCAGCATCACTTTTTTATTTTTTTAGATATAAACAGCACAGTATGATCATTGTGCCAATGGATACACCGGGTGTCAAACTTATAAGGCCTCTTTCAGTCTTTGGATACTGGGGTAAGTTGGTTTGCCAAGTACTTACGATCATCATTGTCATCATCAAGCACCTTCCAAGCGCTTGGATTTGGCTCCTAGATCTCGCTGCCCTAACTGGTCTGAGCTGTTGCTTTAATTCAGGCATAGGCAAACTTGGCCCTCCAGATGTTTTGAGACTACAGTCCCATCATCCCTGACCACTGGTCCTGCTAGCTAGGGATCATGGGAGTTGTAGGCCAAAAACATCTGGAGGGCCGAGTTTGCCTATGCCTGCTTTAATTTAAACCACTAAATAAATGGGTGTCCCTTACTCTCATGTCTTGATGCTCTGTCACTGGATTGGAGACGCTTAAGACTCACAGAATCGTAGAGTTTGAAGGGACTACAAGGGTCATCAACCCCCTGCAATGCAGGGCTATTTTGCACAATGTAGGACTCGAACCCACAACCATTGATTAAGCTGTACTGACTGAGCTATCCCATAGGACAGGGCTCCCAGTAGCTCATGCAGCTCCTGCTGTTGGGCTGCTATACTGTGCATACTGGATATAGAAAAGACTGGCACAGATCCTGCAGTTTTAAAATATGTACATACTGGTCGGCGGTTCGAATCCCCGCAACGGGGTGAGCTCCCGTTGCTCGGTCCCTGCTCCTGCCCACCTAGCAGTTCAAAAGCACATCAGAGTGCAAGTAGATAAATAGGTACAGCTCCGGTGGGAAGGTAAACGGCATTTCCGTGCGCTGCTCTGGTTCGCCAGAAGCGGCTTAGTCATGCTGGCCACATGACCCGGAAGCTGTACGCCGGCTCCCTTGGCCAGTAAAGCAAGATGAGCGCCGCAACCCCAGAGTCGGCCACGACTGGACCTAATGGTCAGGGGTCCCTTTACCTTTATATACTGACACTAGCAATTTCCCTCAGTTGACACTTGCCTTTGTTCTTTTCACAACTTTGTAGATTATTTCCATGGCGGACATTTTGAGGTGCATTTTAACAACGTCCGGGTACCTGCCTCTCATTTAATCCTTGGTGAGTCTCAACATTTCTTTGCTAGAGAAGTTTTTTTATGTTTGATGTTTTATATATGCTGTAAGCCGTCCAGAGTTGGTGGGGAAGACCCAGCCAGATGGGTGGGGTATAAATAATAAAAAGTATTATTATTTATTATTACAGAGCTCTGCAAAACTCTGCTGCAACCTCTTCGCACCTGGTGCCCTGTGTAATAATAATAATAATTGTCAGGGGCTCAGGAGCAGAGGCACAGGGGAGAGAGGAGATGGAGAGCGAAGGGGAAGAATCTGAGGGCAGCGGAGGGGAGAATGACAGTGACCCAAGAGATTCCATGAGCCTCTCCAGCGAATCAGAAGATTCCCAGAAGGG